CCAGCAGTAGCATTAGCTTTTTGCTAACAAATTAATTAAGCTGGTAACAACTGACTTATCACAGGTGACAAAATGACGTTGACTCAGTCAGCTTTAATACATATGTTTACAGCTTCATTGTACCAACAAGTATCATTATTGTAGTCGAAATGTCTACAAAGTAAGGGCTAATGTTACCTTGACATCTTGCTAGGTAAATTAGCTTGCTAGCTTGCTAGTACACACACCTGCTGCATTATCATGAACTGCCAGTTTCACATCAGTTAATGGCCATCGTTTCTTTGCAGATCATTTGCCTATTTGACTGTGAGAGACAGATTGCCAACCATCCTGACTAAAGTTATTGACACAATACATCGCAACAAAAACAAGTTTTTCGAAGAATATGGAGAGGTAAGAATTGTCATTGATCAATTAAATGAGTTATTTTCTTTAACTTCATCTTTAACTATAAGGCTCTGCGTGTGTTTACAGGAGGGTATCCAGGCAGAGAAGCAAACAATAGGTCTGCTGTCTAAGATGAGGAATGAGCTGCAAACTGATAAGCCAGTAATACCACTGACAGACAGCTTGCAAGACGCGGAGTGTTGGAACCAGTATCTGCAGAAACATCAGAAACTGCACGGAGACCAGGAGTCTGTCAGCTGGTTCAAGTCCCCATGGCTGTATGTGGAGTGCTACATGTACCGCAGGATACACGAGGCCCTCTGGCTGAAGTGAGTAGCATTTGCGTCTTTAAATGGGAACTATTGCTGCTTTTTCTCCTGCTATTAAGTGTACATATATTTTGGGCTATGCATTACATCACTTATATTAATTTCTAATTAGCCTTTTTATCTGATGTTAGTTAAATTCGAATGCAAACAATGGAAATGTAAGATGTCAATTTATTAGAATAGAAAAAACACATTGAGAATATTACACCATTATAAATAACAATGGTTGCTCAATGATTAAAAACAAAAACGTTTGCATTGAAATATTGCAATGTTGAAGTAAATACAGATTTTCATTGTTTCTTTATGTTGTGTTCTTTTGCTCTTCATGTTGTTATTTGTGCTTTTATTTCAGTCCTCCCATCAGTGACTATGACGTCTTCAATGAAGGAAAGACTCAGAGCTTTTTTGAGTCTCAGCAGGCAGTGATGACCATATGTACACACTTGGAGGGCGTCAACAGCAACATTGAGAATCTCTCCAAGAATCAGCTGTTTGAGCATTTCGACAAACTGCTACAGGTAATACCTTCTGAACCAGCTCCTTAAAATGTTAAAGCTGCAACTTGAATTGTTGCAACTTAAGTATCAATTATCTCATGGACCTCTTCTCGGTCCATAAACATGAACTGTCCATTCAATTAATTTTCTCTATCATGTACTCTATTCAGGATCATATTGAAATACATTACAATAGTTTCAGGTGTAAAACATTTGATTTGACTCTTTTCTAGGTTTCCTTATGGGGGAACAAGTGTGATCTCTCTATCTCTGCTGGCCAAGACAACTCCCAGAAGACCAGTCCAATAGATTCCCTCGTCAGCCTACAACCCTTGATCTTGGTGAATGACTCCAACACGGTATGGTCAACTCTTATTTCTGCCCAGACGCACGCACGGTCAGAGAAAACCACAGTCAGAGTGGACATTGTTCTAGACAACGCTGGCTTTGAGCTAGTCACTGACTTGGTCTTAGCCGATTTCCTGGTTTCCTCTGGCCTTGCCCATGAGGTCCATTTCCACGGCAAATCCATTCCTTGGTTCGTCTCTGATGTCACAGCTCACGATTTTCAGTGGACCATCCAGCAGACCATGGCGGCCAATCACAAGTGCATGTCAAAGATTGGATACCAGTGGAAGAGCCACCTGAAGGACGGCGTGTGGTCCTATCACGATCATCCCTTCTGGACACAGCCCCATGAGTTCTGTGACATGGCCGCTGATGCACCCGACCTGTATGCTAACCTGCAGGGGGCAGACCTGGTGCTGTTTAAAGGGGATCTCAACTACAGGAAGCTGGTGGGGGACAGAGACTGGGATCACACAGTGGGCTTTGGTACTGCATTACAAGGTTTTGGGCCTGCGCCGCTGTGTAGCCTGAGGACTCTCAAGGCCAACGTACAGGTCGGTCTGCAGCCTGGCCAAGCGGAGAAGCTCACCTCCCATGAACCAAACTGGATGACCTCCAGCAAATACGCTGTTATTCAGTTCTACAGCTCAAAGGCGGAACAGAAAGACTGAGCTCAGGATTTCCCTGCGCACACGTGGATTCATAAGAACATTACAGTAAGAAGTACCTTAAGGAGTTATCTTCAAGCCATAAGACCATTGAGTCATTGAGGTTGTAAAAGGGTGTTTTGTTTTTCTTTTCGAAAGTTAATACTTCATCGTGTTAGATGCGCACATGCACAGTAACAGAAATGTCCTTAGTTTTTATTTTCATAACATATTTGTACCATGTCATACTTGCAATGTTAGCACTTAAGTCATGATGTTTACAGGTTAATGTAGATGCTATTAACAATTCATTATAACATTTTAAATTGATTGATAATACATCTCCTTTCAGTGATGATTAAAGTAATATTTAGTTTGATTTGAATTCAGCTAGGTTGTTTAACTGTTGCACTCACTCTCGTTGATTTGCATGCATAAAAACATGCAGCCATTTTATATTCACCTAAACCAGGTTCTCACATAACTTTATGACTCATTTAATTATAAAGATGTTAGTGTTATTTGGGCAGACTAACAATAACGGTAAGCATGTGTACTTGTTTAGTTTAAAATGGCAACCAACATTTCTGTATAAAATGGATTAAAATGGATGTCTCTGTGCACACTGTTATGTCATCTAAATGATCTTTGTCGGGGTGTCAGTACCTCAGAGGTCATGTTACCTGGATTCTTCTCAATACTGCTTGGGTAAATGCAATCAGTTTCTCTAATGGATTTGATTTAATAAAGGTAATTGACTGACTGATATTTTTTCCAATGTCATACTTTACAGGCTGAGGGACACACGATGTGGGATATAATGACTCTATCAGAATAATCCATCAGATGGCTTTTTGTTATCTAGTTCGTGACTCAAGTTGGTTTGTTCATTTCAGCATAGTGCAGAAACGATTTTTTATTTACATCCATACGCAACCAATTATTTTGAACAAAATCACCTTATGTTGGGACTAATGTGTCTGTATATATGATAATCCATTAGTTACATTTTTCACCAGTAGTTTGACATTTGTCCTTGATATATTAGTCGGGGTCGACCTAGTAAACAGCTGGTAATGCTGCTACATTCATTGTAGGCATAATTCAGGCTGCTCACATGCGTTGTGAATTTGGTCTGTTATAAATATCAAGTCAATTATGGCAAGAAGCAACCCAGCTTCTCGGGCCATTTAGGTGAATTCGCTGTTTCCAATCTCACCCTTTTTATTTTCCTGTTTTCTAATGCAACAGTGTCTCCATTTCATCCTGGGGGAAATTCAAAGAAATATGTATTCGGGCTACTTGTTTAACACTTGACCTGACATGTTCTGAAAATTGGGCTGTTTATTCCAGAAAGATGTTGCACAGAAGGGGAATCTTTGGTCCCTGTGCCAAATGTTCACGTTGTCCTCCGAGGGGGAGGCTGCTGATCTTATTTATCTTATGCATTTCCTGCATTATTGACTCATCTGAACGTTTCACTAGAAAATTAGTATATTGTTTTTCAAGCCCTGTATTATTCAAATTTCTATCAACATTGTATTATTGAATCCTTAAATATATACTGCACACACTGCTCCTTTGCTTTAATTAGTTTATAGTGTTCTATCTCATCCCTGACTTGTAATCATTACCTGATAATAGAGTAATGATTAACTTGTACATATTCTGGTCCTACGCAATATTGCATCTTCTTTTTAAATAAAGTGCCACGAGAAAAATAGAAAAAGTATTCTGTACATTTTTTGGGTAGTGTTAATTCAAGTATTTATTTGTGGTCATGTGATTAAAAAAATCATGAATCCACTCATTGGGGAATGATTGTGTAATAATTGGCTGTTGGTATGAGATTTGACCTGCTTTGTTTGCTGTGTTAAAGTGACCTGGCACTAAAACATGCTGTGGTTTGATTATCGATTTAGCAGCCTCTTTAATTTGTTTATCCTCTTTTTGAACCTTCCCACTGATCCCATTGTGTCCAATGATACCAGCTAGATTTCTGAGAGAGGGAGACAGGGAGAGAGAAGTCCCAGTGCTGCACAGCAGAGATGAGGATGATTCACGTGTGAGAGGTGAGTAGTGCACGGAGGTAGATTTTGGCTTCTTTTAGCCACCTTTGTTTAAAACCTTTGTCCTAATGTTTCTCATTTCCACAGTGTTATGATTTACTGCAGAGTCCCAGGTGTATTCAATAGTCTGGTTACAAATAGACCGGTCATACGTCATGCTGATAGCTTGCCGAGTATCAGATAAATTAAACTGCTTACTTATTGTTTACAGATGTATTTTATCCAGCTTCAACCAGCAACAGCTTTACAATGTTAGAATAAAGTTAGGAGAGAGCATTTTATAATGGTGTAGGGCTATTACTCTGTGCATCTTTCTGTTTGTTTACCCCCCCCCCCCCCCCCCCCCCTGCACACATTAGTAGATAATTACTAGAGGGATATAGGGAAGAGTTCTGTTTCATTTCATTTCATTTCAATCTTTATTTCGAACAGATTAAAAAAAAAATAATAACAAAAAAAAACCTGGATTGAGAGGAGTCTTTTTGAATTCCTTTTTTTTTAGTTTGATGGGCTGAAGCTCAAGACGAAAAGGGCAAAGGGACTGGAAGAATAGTGGACTCTTCAAGTTGCTTGTTGGCTTTATTGGAAAGAAAAGAGAGACAGTGAGAGAGAGAGACAGTGAGAGAGAGAGAGAGAGAGCAGCACTCGTCTCCACTCCCCCTCCCAGCAAAGGGGAGAGCAAGTCTAAATCATGTTGCATATCAGTGCTGTTGTGCTGTGATGTTGCTCAGGCAGAGCCCGGCACAGAGCAGGCAGCCGTGTGGACCAGCACTCAGACCCAGGATCAGCCCAGCCTTCCCAGAGCTGGAGACCCTCTCCCCGCAGCGACCCTCGCCTCCACCGCGGGCCCCCTTCAGTGACATGTACCCTGAAGAGAGCCGGGGGTCTGGAGCCACTGTGGACTTCCTTGAAGGGACCTACGACTATGCGGCCCCCACCCCTGCCCCGACCCCTCTCTACAGCCACTCCACGGTGGGCTTCTACTCTCCTCCTCTGGACGCCCACGGACAGCCCTCGGATGGCAGCCTTCAGTCCCTGGGGAGTGGGCCAGCTAGTCCTCTAGTGTTCGTGCCCTGCAGCCCCCGACTCAGCCCCTTTATGCACCCCCCCAACCATCACTATTTGGAAACCACCTCAACTGTGTACAGGTGAGGGAATTCAAGTTTTCTTTATAACCATATTGGAGAAAAAAAAAGGGTAATGTTGTGCACTTGGAAAAAGTTATATTTATAGACTCTGAAGCAACAGGTATGAATCACTGCTGTTGTTTTTTTTTTTGTATCATTAGGTGAAGTTGGTTTATTTTTGGCGACAACCTCTTAAGTTTTCATTAGTGGGTTTATTAAATCCAACCAATTAATGAAAACTAAAAAAGAGAAGTGCAAAACATCATTACATCACATTATCCGGCAGTGGCTCAGTCAGTAGGGGCTTGGACTGTGAGCCGTAGGGTCGCCGGTTCAAGTCCCCGAACAGACCTAAATATGGAGTGTGGACTGCTACTTGGAGAGGTCCCAGTTCACCTTCTGGGCCCTGCCGTGGTGCCCTTGAGCAAGGCACCGGACAACCCCCTCCCCCCCCCCACTCCCATTGCTCCCCAGGCGCTGTACAATACCTGCCCACTACTCCTAGTACTAGACTCCTGGTACTAGGATGGGTTAAATGCAGAGAACACATTTCACTGTGTGTGCTCTGCATGTGTGACCATCAAAGAGGGTTTCATCCCTCCCATTCTTCTATTTTCTCTAAATTCTAATTTTGTTGATTTATTTTTTTAATTAATTATTTTTCTTTCTTATTTTACTGTATTTTATCTACTGACTTGGTTGTCTCCTATTAAGTGGTTGCATGGTATTTTGCCACATAACTAGCTTTAATATCTTTCACTCACATATTATGTTATTGGCATTCTGTTCAGTCCTCACAGTTGTAAACAAAACCAAATTATATAACTGCATTGTTTTTTTTACAAAACATTGCCCCTATCTCCATAGAAAGGATCAAGCTTTGTCCTGGTTTCTAATTCCAGAGATTAAGGACTTGGTCTAAGACCTTGAAAACAGAACAATACGTAATAACAACATAAGTGCACATACAGATTGCTTCCTGCCTCAGGTGGAAAATAGTACTAAATCTTTTTTATGCTATAAACCAGTTCAAGTTGGTATCGTAAAAGTGGAAGGATTGAAAGTAAGTCGTTGCCAGCCAATTATTTTATGATTAAAGACATTTGTTAGAGAATTTTTTGACTAAATGTCCAGGAATATGTAATGGCAAGAAATACATTTGATATTTTATTCAACCTCCATCTGAGTTTATTGTCATTAGCTTTTATTAAATCACTTACAAAGTTAAACATTTGAAATCATTAAACTGAGCTGAAATCCTGTGGCAGGTCCAGTCTGCAGTCAGTTTCCAGAGAGGACCTGTGCGGCACCAGCGACGAGTCGTTCAGCGTGGGGGAGTCGGGGGCCGGGGCCGGGGCCGGGGCCGGGGGGTTTGAGATGGTCAAAGAAACGCGGTTCTGTGCCGTGTGCAGCGACTATGCTTCTGGGTATCACTACGGGGTGTGGTCCTGTGAGGGCTGCAAGGCCTTCTTCAAGAGGAGCATCCAGGGTAGGTACTCTGTCTGCTTCATACACGTGTGATCTGTAGCTGTTGTTCTCAAACTGTTTGTAATATATATATATAAAAGATAAAACCATATGAAAGGAGAGTACAACTTTGTAAATGTAGCACTGTGCCTAATAAAAAAATAAGTTTTGCGGTCAGCCAACAAATGAATATTTAATGTTGTTTATTCAGGCACCTCTTGGAATTAAAAAACATCCACAATAGGGAAAACAGAAGATTGGAAAGGATAGTGATTTATTATGCTTATTATTGACTCATGGTAATAAAGTGAACCGCCTGTAACTTCCACAGAGACATCAATGGTTAAACTGCAGCTTTCGGAAGCAGAAAACAGGGGAAATGTCTGTCCTTAATTGAGACATTGTGAAATGGAGAGATTTTCAATAATTTGTTATCATAAGTTTGTTCTATTTATATCGTTATTATAGATTTTTGGTTCTAGAGACAAGTGTTTCATTTTTTGCAAGAACATTGTTTTGGAAGGATTCAAACAAAACAAATTATATTTCTTTTAATTTCCTTAAGAATTCAATATTAAAAGATACACTTCCCCCCAAAAATATGACAAAAGACGGTTACATCAGAGGAGATATTACGCTTAATTCAGCGTAGTGCAGAAAGACAAACAAATGTTCCTCTGTTTGCATGTCATGTCTTTCACAGATCATTGTGTACAACCTAAATGCATGTTGCCTGTGCAGATAGAAAGAAATGTAATTTGCTTGCCGTCATGCTGTGATATAATGCTTCGGCATGTTGTTAAGTCTTTCAAGAACCATTTCATAAAGAAACCAATAGTCTCCATGGCGATGAACAAGCCAAGATGCCAAGTTTTAACATTTTCTCCATCTCAGATCCATTTAAAATGGGAATAGAGTGTCCCTGACTACTAAATAACCTAAATCTGAACTGAACAATGGAGTGGGGGGCTTGAAGTAATAGATTTTCTTTCCTTCCAGGTCACAATGACTATATGTGCCCAGCAACCAATCAGTGTACTATCGACAGGAATCGGAGGAAGAGCTGCCAGGCTTGCCGTCTTAGGAAGTGCTACGAAGTGGGCATGATGAAGGGAGGTAGGTAGAAACACCAGGAGACAGCAGAGTTTCTATCTTTATTTTCTATTTTATTTTTATTTATGTGCAGTCTGCTCTCTGTTGCTTATAATTGTAGCTTTACTTTTGGCTTAGTCTGTTGTTTTTAACTAGATATTTGGTTACATTCTCTGTATGTCTATTTAATGATTCGTTTTTCCGCCGCAATTTAGCTTCTCTGTATATTGTTTTTATTGTCAGCAAAATAAAATACTTTGATTGCCCTCAAGTTTTGAAAGGATGGCCACAAATATGAGCACGCTGGTGGACGCAGATAAGCTTCAGACTAACTTTAACAAGACCTTGAAGTGATTTCCTCTTAAGGAGTACAAGTAACCACTGATTAAAACCCACCCACATTTTGTTTTCATACTTCTTGTATTACACAGGCATCCATAAAATCTGTACTGCTCGACCTAGTAGTAAAATCAGGAGGTTATGTTCGAGCATTTGCAAGAAAAACAGCCCAATGAGTTGTGTGCCTGCATGTTTGTGTGTTTTCTGTATCTGTATGTCCATGTTATTTTGCGTTAATCCCTTGTTGTTTGCTCAAGGTGTTCGTAAGGACCGCGGTCGTGTTTTGCGGCGTGACAAAGGGCGGACGGACACCACTGGTAAAGACAAGGCCTCTAAGGACCTGGAGCAGAGGACAGTGCCCCCTGTTGACAGGAGGAGGCGCAGCAGTGCTTGTGGTGGAGGAGTACGATCAACACTGAATGGCATGCCTCCTGACCAGGTGCTTATTCATGTAGAGACATTTGTTGTTGCCAAGGAGAAGTAATATAAAGCATCGTCTGAATATTATTGGCGAGTGGGTGTTCAGATGTATTGTTTCTCTGCTGTTTCCTCAGGTGCTCCTCCTGCTCCAGGGTGCCGAGCCCCCAACACTGTGCTCCCGTCAGAAGCTGAGCAGACCCTACTCCGAGGTCACCGTGATGACGCTGCTCACCAGCATGGCCGATAAGGAGCTGGTCCACATGATTGCCTGGGCCAAGAAGCTTCCAGGTACTGCTCCAGTAAATCCTGTTAATTATATTAAAACAATTACAAAAAAAACTTTAATATTGACTGTATAATGCAGTGTAGTCTTAAGATCCATTCTTTAAGATATCGTTTTAGTTTTTTGACACGACGGATACTAGCTTACTACTTGACCAGATATTGGATTGTGGCTTTTATGATTCACATTATGGCCTGAATTCTGTTTTGGAGCAAATACCTATGACTTATTGGAACTGTTAAGACTCTCCTGAGATTTCTAGGAGTCCGTGACATTCCTGTCTGTAATGTGGTCTGTAGGAAATATAACAGTTGGTTGCACACTTTTTTGATTGTTCTCCAAAATTCACAAACTATCCTTTCCATATCATGTTTTCACATTCATCAAATTCCTTGATAGAAGTGATGTCTAACCGATTGTGTCTGTGGGTTTTGAGCAAAAAAATCTGGTACAACTCGTGTTAATGGATACCAAATAGTTCCAAGTTTGTAAAAAGTGAGACTTTCGTATCTTTTTCAGAAACGTTTAACATATTGAGATTTGTGCAAGAATTGCATGTTTCGGCGATTGTGTGGTGAGAACATCTGCTAGGGAACCTGCTCAAACCCCCCTTACTGTCAGTATACCTAGGAAAGACATGCACCCTCTGAATAACTTAACTCTGTATTTGTGGTTGCCAAGTTTTATATAGCTGTGATTATACTAAAGGTCACAACAGGTCATTTTATGCCATAAGGCCAAGTTTGAAAAAATCGTCTCTTTACAACGAAACGGCTACCACTAGGGAAAATATGATGCAAAAAACCGCATGGGATTGGTTAACATTTGACATGTCTGTTAAGGACTATATTTGTGGGTATCCATAGAACCCCCTTCCATTCAGAAATCTCTTAAATCAAAAGAGCCCCATGGATAGAGCCATGGCCATTTTCCCCTCGCCATTATTTTTGCCTTTGCTGCGTTATTTGACCTCCTTTCCAACAAGCTAGCATGATGTGGTGTGTATTTACCAATGGATTCCTAAAACAGAGCCCACTACAGCCCTTCACAAAATGTTGGCAAGACTATTCCGATTTTAAAAGTGTAGGATTGAAGGAGTAGTGCAAACTTTATTTCCTCCTTGCTCAGTGACACCATCTGTCTTCAACCAAAAAGGATAACTTCAAGTTTAATGACATTTCTGCTTTTCGCTAGTAGCTTCGAATGGATTCTTTCAGAGAACAATGTCTCTGTAAGTACTAAGGTGAAAGCAGGTGCACAACATGTGAGTCAGGCTCTGCTGGAGCACCATGACATGTCCTGCCAAATTGGGAAATATTATCAAAAGCTTGGAATCATTGCCTTTCTTAAACATTCAAATGTACAGAAGTACTTTGAGAAACAGGTTGTTGCTCTTGATGGTTGGAGCAACAGCATGGTGAAGGCAGACCTTTATAGTTGGAGCAAACACACACACACACGCACACGCACACGCACACACAGCAATTACAGCGATGGTTATCACAGTCATCACTTTTGAAAGGATTGTTTGGCCAATCCCAAGGCACCCCATAGAGCCTAAATGCTGTGTACACATATCCATCTAGTACACACACACACACACACACACACACACACACACACACACACACACACGCACACGCACACGCACACGCACACACACACACGCACACACACAGCTGATTTTGAAGCATTACAACTTTGTGCGTCACTAAAAGCCCAAAGGCACACAGTTATAATTGTGAGGGGTCCCAAACAGGGTACGGGGGTCGGACAATGGGAGGGAATTGGATGTAATTACATTGAGACAGCTGAGTACCAGTGATAAGGCTCTGAAAAAGCGCAGCGAGATTGCAGATGGTTTCTTTTAAGTGCTAGAAAACAAGGGCATGCATGTCTTTTTTTTTAGTGGGATGAAGGTGCACAGAAAACATTTAACTCTGGCAGTGTTAGTATTCTAAACCGTACTGCAGTCTACGCCCACCGCTCCAAGTAATTAGCACTGATAACACCTTTCAGCACCAGATTGTTTTTATTTGGATCTGGTCTTTGTTCAATATAATTGCTATAAAGTGCTCGGGGATTAAAAACATATTGTCCAGATTCTTTGGGGACCATTTTACGAAGTTGAGTGACTATAAAAAGTGTTAAATCTCTCTAATGAGGTAAGATCTTGATGGCAGCAAGTAAAAAGGGAATAACAAGATACAGGCTTCTGAAAAACTGTCCCAGTCCGCCCTCATTGTCAATATTGTAAAACACATCTTGTAATAATAATACATTTGATTTTGATAGTGCTTTTCCCAGTGCTCAAAGACGCTTGTAGAACAGATAACCCACTCCACACGGCTCCAAAATGAAATACTGTGAGAAATATGGTGTGCTTATTTAACCAGAGACAGATCTTTTATAATAGTTCCATCAACCACTTACAACATTTGTGGTAACACTTTATAATATCAATCAACAATGAATTGATTCATTCATCTTTTGTTGAAAGTTGTACGATACATTATATATTATAAGATTTCAAAACAATAAACTTAGTGTTACAAATATCTGCTTTATGACTACTAACTTTTACTTATCCAATAAAGGTTTGGTTATCATGAACACATACTTAATGTTGCATATTAAGTGTTATAATGTATGCAAAAAAGAAACAGTTAAAAAAACATAAATGATAGTTGTTTTTATCATTTTAATTGTTTGTTAATTTACACTTAATTAACTCTTGATAAACTATTTGTTGATAATGTGCATTATAAAGGGTTACATCATTTTCCTACATTAACAGATATTACCATGACCTTATATTTGTTTACCTTTGGTTTACTTTTTAGGTATTACATCACTGTTATTAAATATGTAGAAATGTTCATTAATAGAAAGTTAAAAAAGGTGTTAAAGGTCCCCTATTATACTGTTTTTCATCAATATATCATAGGTCTCAGATATATACAAAACATGTCTCTGATCTGTTTGGCTCCAAATACCAAACAGATCGTGCATTGTAGCATCCCATAACCCCCTCTGTTTCAGCCCTGTTTCAAAAGTGCTGATTCTGTGTCTGTTACTTTAGATGAAAATAAGGAGCCACTCCCCTCTGAGAGATATTTGGAGGAGATTCAGGTGATAAGATGGGGGGGGGGGGGGGGTACCTTGGTTGGTGATTGGCTAATGGTTACACAAGCCAAAAAAATCGTTATGACATCACAAAGTGGCCACAATCTGATCAGCTCATTTTCAGACAGGTTTTGATATAAATGGATCGGGACTAAAAGTGAGTGAATCTTTGTTCCTGAAACTTTCAGAATCTCTTTACACAGAGGGGACACAAATACATGAAAAAGTGGATTTTGCATAATAGGTGACCTTTAAGGCCCCAGCTCCATGGGAACGCATACGGCAAAACGCATCGGAGTAACGCAAACGCAACCGCAAAAAACCTTCCGTCCCCACGCAATATACACCGGATTGTGTCAAGCTCCACGAGACGGCTCCGTTTACATCCAACCGCTGGAAAAGCTGCAGTACATATGCCGAACCTGTACGTGGCGCTGTAACTTCCTCCACAAAAGCAGCAACTTCCTCCACAAAAGCAGCGAAGAAGAATGGTTGTCATGGCTGCACTTCTGTTTATTCTCCGCGGTGGGGGCCGAGGGATCCGGGCAGAGTTTTTCGCCGGTCAACGTGTGTTAAAGTTTAAATCTTCCGGACAAAATTATAAAAGTGCCGGTCAAAGGTCTTCTTTGTTATTTATTGAGCTTTAAAACAAATGAATAACGACGATATAATGATATATGATCATAAAATACACAGAGCCTGTCTCTTTTTCCTCTCTTCTCACAGCGTCAGTGTCTGTCTCATGCAGCAGCTGATCCTGTAATGATGACTCGACAGTAAAAATAAACATATTTATAACTAGTTTAGGTAGTTTGAGAGGTAATTAAAATAGCTATTGTTGTTGTTAACGAAACACATCAGCAATGTTGCGGGGTACGCGGAGAGGTGGGAAGAGGTGGGGAGAGGCGGGGAGAGGCGGGGCTATGAAACGGATGACCGTATAGGCGACTCCACGGCCCCGTTGGACCCCCCAGAGCGCTCCGTTCCCAGATCTATCCACCTTTGGACCCGTTGTCGTTTGCGGGGTCTGTTTCTACGTTTCCGTTACGGCGTCGTCGAGCTTAAAGGGCTATACGCATGAGAAATATGCGGATTCAACCCGTTTTCGTCCCCGTGGAGCCTAGGCCTTAATCTACTCTGGCTGTGGATCACTTTGGTGCTATCAAACAGAGGTGTGTGTGTGTGTGTGTGTGTGTGTGTGTGTGTGTGTGGTGTGTGTGTGTGTGTGTGTGTGTGTGTGTGTGTGTGTGTGTGTGTGTGTGTGTGTGTGTGTGTGTGTGTGTGTGTGTGTGTGTGTGTGTGTGTGTGTGTGTGTGTGTGTGTGTGTGTGTGTGTGTGTGTGTGTGTGTGGTGTGTGTGTGTGTGGTGTGTGTGTGTGTGTGTGTGTGTGTGTGTGTGTGTGTGTGTGTGTGTGTGTGTGTGTGTGTGTGTGTGTGTGTGTGTGTGTGTGTGTGTGTTTTTTGTAGGCTTCCTGCAGCTGGGGCTCCATGACCAGGTGCATCTGCTGGAGAGCTCCTGGCTGGAGATTCTGATGATCGGGCTCGTCTGGAGGTCCATCCACTGCCCCGGGAAGCTCATCTTTGCTCAGGACCTCATACTGGACAGGTATCAGGAACACTCTCACCTCTTCTCTGCTGCTCCTCTCTTTACTTTTCATCTTGCTGCACTTTCCCTCCCCACTTATCTGCCTATCTCTCACTCTCACACAGATCTTAGCATTGTAGATTCTCCATCTCACACCTTGGGAGCCATTGTGCCCACTCAACACGCCCGCTATAGAGTGAAATACTAATGACATGCTCCCCACAGAGAGGAGAGCAGCCTCTCTCTCAAATGAAATACTCATCATTACATCAGAGGCAAACAAGATAGAGATGTAATCAAAGAGTCAATGCAGGAAATGATGGAAGAGGATGAAGGGAGAGAGAGATGACTAGTAAGGAGGCAGAGGAGAAAAAGCCAAATGACGAACAGAGAATAGAGACAAAATAGAGATGCAGTGAGACATGGATTTCTGCTTTGCTGGCACCGTCTGTTCCCTACATTTCCCCCGTGTTCAAAGTAAACAAGGCAGACAAGACAGAGAGGGGTGAGGGAGACAGAGAGGGGCGAGGGAGACAGAGAGGGGCGAGGGAGACAGAGAGGGGCGAGGGAGACCAGCAGACAGACACAGCTTTTGTCTGATGGTCCCATTTGATTCCAAAGTGTTTTACAGAGTATTATCTCTAAAACCTGTCCTCACCAATTGGACATGATGACTTAATGGCTGTGGGTCAGAGTGGATGATTTCCCTCGGCTCTGTGCTGTCCAAGTTTATCTTGCACTCCAACCACTCGATATTATCCATCTTTCTGTCACTTTTCAACTGTCCTTACAACTGGAGTGTTGCAATGATTTGGGCCATTACTGGAGTATCATTTTATATAGCTTAAAGGGGACCTATCATGCAAAATGCACTTTGTGATGTCTTTTATACATAAATATGGGTCCCCGGTGCGTCGGGGAACTCACGCAGCATCAGAAAATAAAACCCTCTCTCTTTTCCTCCGTACCCAAATCTTTTAAAAACGGGTGTACAACGAGCGGATACAGATTGCATCCGATCTGACGTCAAATCGGCGGCGGACCCACAGAAAGTTGCCATCAGAAACAATGCCTGACGTGTTTTGGACGTAATCTCGTCTTCGTTTACATTAGCAAGCCTCGCTAACACTCAGAGCTAACCTGTACTGGAGAGCACATGTGTTTAAAAAGCAGGAAATAAAAAAAGGAACTCACCTTGTGATAAACCCGCAAGAGAAAAAGCATTTGAGCTCCATACTGTTTCAGAAATAATCCTTGATGTGGTTTAGAACAGGATGGCGTTTTATCACAGCAGAATTTAACTTTATCTCCGGTAGAATTCTGATCAGGCATTAGCTCCGCCTCCTCTTCTTCTTTTTTTTCAAGCTAAGGACCCAAGATCCGCGTTTCTCTAACAGGGCTTCAAAAGAGGGGTATGAGCAGTATGAGGCATGGCTACAATGGGTGAACTGTTTGGTATTTTGAAAAAAAAACTTCACAGACATGTTTTGTATAGGTATGGCCCTACAATATATGTTTCCAATATAGCATGATAGGTCCACTTTAATGGTGGCAGATGAAGTCAGGTTTTCTTCTGTCACTTCTCAGAACTAAGCTCAGTTTGTAAGATTTTTAAATACAGAAGAAAAGGGACATTCTAAACTCCAAATAAAACTCTCATTGTGTGTCATTCTTCTCCCCAGGAACGAAGGAAACTGTGTTGAAGGCATGGCGGAGATCTTCGACATGCTGCTGGCGACGGCTTCACGCTTCCGCTTGCTCAAACTCAAACCCGAGGAGTTTGTCTGTCTCAAAGCCATCATCTTGCTCAACTCTGGTGAGGCAACAGGAGCGTGTGTGTGTTTTAGTTTTAGTGACCTCTTTCTAAAACATTTGTAAAGGAATTGAATGTCAGCTAATGCCTGGAAACACTGACAGTAGGGATGGAACGACATAGGATTTAATGGGAAGAAACACTACAAATTAGTTGTTTTGAGAGAATTTCCAACATTCGGATCATTTTAAATATCTTCACAAGTGCCTTAAAAGTGCTGTCTAGAGCTCTATCGTGCTAGATGAGTAAAAAAGACTGGCACAATGTTGGTTTATGGTTATATTACTTCATGATGCCTTCTATCTGTGATGCAATACACACATTTGTTTCTCAACATACTGGAAACGATTTCTCTTTCAGTGCCAATTCTAGAGTTTTGAGCATATTTTGAAGATTATCAAGGTGGTTTTTAAGCATTTGATCCTGGATGAGATGATTTGTTTATATATCTCCATTCCCCTCTGACAGAAGACAGCAGAGTCAATTCTCTAATTAAAACATAAACTGTCATAAGCTTTAATTTCTCCTCCCACAGTTTTGTCACAGGTTGCCATTTGTGTTCCCGACAGTAAATATTGAACACCCACCAGGTGAAGCTCTGAGCGCTACTCAGACGCATTAGGCAGCACCGTGTACCCTCAACATGCCAGATAACTGTTCCCATGACAACATGATGCAGCACACAGGGCTCTGTTTGCCCCAGAGGTTGAAATGTTTTACAAGAGAAACGGAGCAGACTGAAATACCAACAGGATGACCGGGCCCAGCTGCCTGAGCCGGACCAGCTGATTGCTGAGTGGGCGGAATGCTTCTGCAGTGAGCGCATGTGAGCAACTTGACAAACTGCAGTTATCTTATGTTCTTCTCTCCGTCAGGGGCCTTCTCTTTCTGCACCGGCTCCATGGAGGCCCTCCACGACATGGCGGCGGTGCAGATCATGCTCGACACCATCACAGATGCTCTCATACATCACATCAGCCAATCAGGAGGCTCGGTGCAACAGCAGTCCAGGCGACAGGCCCAGCTGCTCCTCCTGCTCTCACACATCAGGCACATGAGGTGGGATTCAATAAGAAAAGTGGGCTTTTTTTACCGTATTAAAAATCTGTTGAGAATCAGGCTTCAGATATCCACAACGTTTCTTTGAGGTGAAACTTATGTAAAGACTTGTATTACTTTTATTATTATGTCGGGAAAAATTCATAGTTTAGTAAGTTGAAAAAAAGGCATAGTATATCACCCCTAGTATATACTATACTATGCCTTTTTTTCAACTGTCATACTGTCCTTTGAAAAGGCATAGTATAGTATTTCGTCAAAAGTATAAAAACATTTCATAGAAAAGTAGTAGTCATATAGTCATAAAAACTAAACCCAAAACCATACATTATTTATCAAAAAGCAACTTAAGGGCAAAAATCTCAACATCAGACGTAGGTTTTCCAGGAGGTATTAACACATACGGTTAGTGGTGCAGCTGTGGCGCAGTGGACTAGTGCGTTGGTGTTGGGATCAGGGGAGCACCGGTTCAAACCCCACTGCAGTCAGCATGTCGTTGTGTCCCTGGGCAAGACACTTCACCCCAAATTGCTCCTGTGGGGATTGTCCACAGTATTGAGTATGTAAGTCGCTTTGGATAAAAGCGTCTAACAAGTAACATGTAATGTAAATTACATGGAACAGAGCTTCCCAGATTGTCGGACTAACTCTCTTATTCCTAGTCTCCCGTTTGTTTACACCCCCCCCCCCCCCCCCCCCCGCAGCAACAAAGGGATGGAGCACCTCTACAGCATGAGGTGCAAGAACAAGGTGCCGCTGTATGACCTGCTGCTGGAGATGCTGGACGCTCACCGCCTGGACCGCCCAGGCCAGCCCTGGACCCAGGCTGACGGAGAGTCCCCCCCCAGCGGCAGTGGAGGAGGACCACGAATCTGCAATGAGAGCGCCAGCAGAGCCCCGACAGTCCTGCAGTACGGGGGCTCCCGCTCGGACTGCACCCCCATCCTATGAGAGAGAGAGAGGGGGCGAGAGGGGGCGAGAGAGGGGGAGAGAGGGGGAGAGAGGGAGAGAGAGGGAGAGAGAGGGAGAGAGAGGGAGAGAGAGAGCACCGCCTGAAGGTCTGAGGTCATTCTGATGGGTGATGACTGTAGAACAGAGTGAGAGGCGTTGTCGATCGGGAACAAAAAAAGGGTTTATTATTTTCACGAGATAATTATTTATAAATGAAATGAGTTGTAGCTGTTTAGGGAGAAAACTCTCCTTTGCACTGCTCCAATTCACCAACATATGAGCTCAATGCAGTATCTGTGATGTAGTCTCTAACAGCTTTACAGTGCAGCTTATTGGCACTCTGTTAGCTTTCGAATGACGAGCAGCTAATTTTATTTTTCATTTGACCAAAGTGCACTTCCTCTGGGGATTAAGGGGCTATCGGGCATTATTTTTACTTTTAAATATTAAGATGATGACACACTAAACTATGGTAAGAGGGTGAATGCGTAATTTATTGTGTTTTTAAATTCAACTATTTTGAGGACTAAGCATCAGGTATTGTGATTTCACACAAAATGTTAAACTTTGATATATTTGGGAAAAATACATTCAATGAGTTGCCAGTGGTTAGGAATAACAAAAAATGCATGATAAAATAGTTATACAAATTTGAAGGAAGCCAAATTCATTGCTGGGAAACGCGCTTACCAAGCTTTTAATGTGAAGACTTAATGTGTGTTCTGTGTGCTTAGTGTGCAAGTGTGTGTGTGTGTGTGGGGGCAGAGACTGAGCTGATATGATGCATTTTATCTTGGTGCAGTTGTTCAACATTTTCATACACTTAAGCACTGGTTATTGCTCATCAGCTATTCATTGATTACATGTTGCATTTGGCTGGATTTACACACCTTCAAAAGAAAAATGTTCAAGTTTTTATTAACTGCTTTACACTGCTTGTGTCATTATAACATTTTAAAAAAGTGTGCAAAATGTGCCCAAATGTACTTATTCAAATAGGTTTTTCTGTTCCTCCAACAATTTGAATTGTCTATGAACGTTATGCAACACATCCATAGGCTTATGTTGTGGCTAGGGGTGCATCCTAAACTGAAAATATGCTGCTCAAATGGCGAATAAGCATCCAATCGTCTATTCTGAAATTATTAGTTCAGCATTTTTGCTTAAGAAATATGTTGTCTAAAAATGTGTGGATTAATTTCCTGTTGATCGCCTAATCCATTTGTTTTGTTTTAGCTGTTAAAAATCATGTTACCAGGATACAAATGTCTAATACATAGTTAGCGTTACAGTGTAGTTGTGTTTTTAAATCTTGAAGATGAAAAGCCTCTATACAGTATTACAAAAGATGGACTTGGCCACTTTAGCTGTGAAGTGTAAATCCAGTCAAACTTGAACTGTCTGTCATTTGTTTACTGTGCACAAAAATAAAAGCTTTAAATGGGAAAATATTTTGTCATTGTTGGAATCTCAAAGTAAAGCCCAAGAACACACAGCAGTAAATATTTTATGTTTTATTATTTGCAAAGAGTATTCTTCATGAAGTCAGCATTAGCAAACTGTACATACATAAATAACCATTTTAATATTTGATCAGTTTTTACAGATTCTGTTTTACCAACGCAGTGATTCCAATGTCTCATCACCGCAGAACAATTATCGCAGTTATCATAAAGCTCACTGTTTCCTGTCGCAGCCGTCTACTAAAACTACCAGTGATTGTTTGGCTTTCTTAAAAGCAGGGACTTTGAAGTGCATGCTCAAACAGAAAGATAAAAAAATAACTGCCTTTATGAAGGCATTTTAACAAAAATATACAAATCAGTTGAGAGCTCATAACTCGTTTAAAATATTTGCCCTCCTTGATTAAATACTGAAATTAAAAACGGGAATTCAAGCGTTGGCTTTTGGGGAAAGAAGTCGGCCATCTTGGCTGGACGGCTTCAGTGCAGTACCTTCGACAGTGCTCACATCAGTGCTATAGGTTCAGATGTTTTGCTTTAACGTCATTTACGTCGACTTCTTTTCCAAATTCAAGCTTCAGAAAGCACTCCTGTTTCCGTCGTTGCATTGTCTTCAAATGTGTCTTTTGAAACAAACTTCCGAGGCTGTGAGTGATAGCTACTCAAAATGCAAGTCCACTGTACAATTGAAAAGGTACAACACCCCTCTCTCAGGGTGGTGCTTCATCAAAACTTACAATCTAATAATTGATTGAACGCTAAATAAATAGTAGCAGCTCTGGATATCATGGACAAAAAGCACGGTGGACTTTGGCTCCCAACATACATACAGTATATAAATAGTGCTTTGTTTTCATTGATCTCTCAGGTTTGTTCAGAAAACCTTATAAAATAATGTACACATTTAAGTTAAAAGTGTTATTTGGAGATGGGGTCTCCAGATGAAGCTCCATGTATTCTGGAGGGGGTTTAAAGGGTTGAGGTGAGTGTGCAATGTTAGGGAGGGAAGTCTTCATATCACCTCTGAGTCACTTCATAATGCAAAGAAGAGTTTGTTGCTTTAGGGCACGGGGTGAAGAGGAGACATTCAGGAGTCCTTGGCAAAGCAGCAGGTAGATGATCGGCTGCTTCTCATATGGGCGGAGGTCCGTTGGTGTAGCGCAGCATTGGATGGAAGGAGCGGGCAAAGTTGTTGGCGTGGTGACAGCTGTAGTCCTCCTGCGTCATGGGCACCAGGCAAGCCAGGCCGATGATGAAGAGGAGGAGCAGCTGGACGGGAAGCGCAGCCCTGAGGACCCGCAGCAGGAAGGACTGGCCTTTAGAGGAGGAGGAGGAGGAGGAAGAGGAGGAGGAGACGCCATCCTGGAGGTCAGAACGGGAGGAAACGCAGCCAGCGGCGCCGGGGGATTTGCTTCGGCTGCAGGGAGACACAGAGTTAAGTTAAACTCAGCCGAGAACAGACCTGAGTCCACTAGTGTTTGCAAATCATGGTTTGTAAAAAAAACACTTGAATCTGAAGCGCACGATGATCAAACTAAGACTTTTTCAGTCAATCTTTTTTATTTATTTTACAAATTCCAGTCAATCTATCGACTAAAAGTTAACTGAGAAAATATTGTAATACTGACTTGTTAGGGAAAATAATTTGTATTCACATTAATAGTAGTTCTGACTTTCAAGTGGGTTTAAAGAAACATGTTTGCAAAAACTATTGAACCCATGTCTGACAAAAAAAGAAGGACTGAAGAAACACTCGACAGGAAGGAAAATGCAGAAAATAGATCCAACCGTTAGAGAGATTGACAGTCACACAGTTGAACAGAGAGATACACACACGTACACACACAACACAGGCACAGACACGCTTTAAAAAACAGCCATCACTCGCAGATATGCTGTGTCTCACTGGAGGAAACACTCTGGATTTAGAGCCGAGTGTGTGAGAGTTCAATGCCACGTCTCGTCCAAACAGACGCAGGAGAAATGCCAAATGCCTCTCTGGAGATTTCCACGTTTCGAGCCAAGACTCGAGGGGAGGAACATCCTGTTCTCAGTGCGGCTCATCCTCCAGGAGGCTGCAGGAGGTCAGACACGCCGACACTCCTCCAGCCTCGCACTCTGCCAACTCCACTTAGTCTGCTAGATGCTAAAACACGGCTGCTATGAGCACGATGTGTCTGTGTGTGGCGAGTTTTAGTTTCTGCAGCCCATGCATACGTGATAACCCTCATATAAAGGATACTACCAGGGGGAAACAAAGAGATGATTTCTGCCACAATAAGGCGAGACTAGTTTAGGCTGAGTCTTCACCAGGCCTGTGTTGTTGTTGTTGGCATGTAATGGGAATGATAGAAATCAGAAATGACAGAGGTGCGTCATTTAAGAGGTCTGGAAAGGAAACAGGAAAGAAAGTGGGAGTTAAGGTAGAGGGGGAAAGACGCAGGAGTTATTGCATCACATCCTGCTTTCAACTATGACCAGAAACTAAGATAAACAGAGCTGAAGGGGTCAGATAGCGCCATCTAGTGGGCGAGGAGAGGGCTGCAGTCACTCAGAGAGGAGAAGCAAAACGTATGACAAGGCCTTATTTCATGATGCCATTCAAAAAGCAGCAAAGAGAAGCAGTGAAATAAAACATTGAATGGAGGAAGGGAGCGGCCTGATGAAGGCGAGTCCCCCCTCGTTTAAGAGCTGGTAACATGGTCTCTAGAATGAGGAAGGATCATGGAACGCAGGGTTAAAGCCTCAAAACTAATCAATCAAAGGCTAAATCATCTACTCATATATTTTACAATCAGTCTGATTTGATTCATTGATTTTTCTCATGGGTTGAGTTTATAAAAATCAAGTTTCTAGTCAGGCGTAGCTGTGGTTCCATCATCCTCCGTGTTTCTAGAGTCCAGGAGAGAGGTACCTGTGGCGCGGGCCGCTCTCAGGGGGTCCGGGGTGGGCCTGACTACTTTTGCCTCGGGGCTGTACCACGCAATGAGCAGGGAGGGGTAAAAGAAAGAAAAGAATGTTTCAGTCAAGGGCAAATGAAGACAAAGCCTCAGATGAGAGAAAATCAAATAACATAAGGAGCCATAACATCAGCAACAAAATCAATGACGCTGATCGACTTTCAGAACCAAGAAATCTGGCTTCTCAAGAATTAATCCTGCAAAAGGTACAAAAAACTGAGAAAATGAATTATTTTAAAACTACTAGTTACATATTGATAAAACACAGAAACAGATAATTAATTGTATACATTACTTCTTAAATGAGATATGAGTCATTACAGAAAAGAAAAGCCAGGTTCTCTTGTACATTTTTGGCAGATCAACATGGTGCAGCAAAAACATCCCAAAAACAAACGAGGGGGCAGCAACAATTGTTTTTCTATCTACGTGTTAGCACAGCAAATCATTTATATTTTATAAAAAAAATTATTTGGAAGATGAGATGTCTACTGGGGGATCAAAGAGAGCGCGGAGGGGAAACATTACCAAGCGTTTGTGACTTTGCACGGTCACCTCTGACTCAGCAGCTGATCCGCACATCTCTGATGGACCAA